TGAAGACACTCGCGCCTCGGGCCAACAGTATCCGCACAATCTCCATAGCACTCCCGAAGCTGTGACTTGAGCTCTTTTGCACCTGACCAAGAGCGAAGTGTAGTGCTGTTCGATGATGTAAATCTTTGAGGTTGACGTCAACTCCAATTTCAACCAGCTTTTTGACCAAGTCAGGTTTACTATTCTTGGAGGCGATCATCAGAGGAGTTTGGCCATTGCTATTCATGTGGTTGAATAGCTTGAAACCATTCTCCAGTAAGGCCTCGAGGTCAGTGATGCTGGTGTCGTAATGCAGTAGACAATTGTTTCTGATTCCTGAAGTCGTATCATCGAGAGTGAAGTTGGCCGTACTACACTTCATTAAGAGTTGATGAAGAGAAATTTCGCGCTTTTCATACTTGTCAGGGTACAAGACGTGATACAATAGGACGGCCTCTGCGGCACAGCTCTCCACAATTTTGTTTTCAGCGAAGTCTTCCAGTCGAACAAGGAATTTGAAGATCAGCGCCCAATGGCTACGGACGGCGGCGTAGTGAAGAAAATTGCGTCTATACTCGGTGTCGACTGCTTTGATATCAGCCCCTGCTTCGATAAGCAGGGCAACGGACTTTTCCTGATTTTCCGCAGCAGCGTACATTAGAGGCGTGATTCCGTGGACGTCAGTCATGTTGACGTCATGTCCCGACTCGATGAGTGCTTTCAAGCTGTGAGGGTTCAGAATAGCCAGGTGAAGGGGTGTCTGCCCGAGGCTATTCTTCTCGTCTTTTCTTGACTTAGTGATCCACTTGGCTACTGTTTCTGTCGACTCAAGTAGAATAGCTTCGTGTAGGGGTGTCATTCCAGCGAACCCTGCGTATCATATATATATTAGGGCCCATCGAACGTCATTTCCCTTGCCACCCCTCCTGAAATCCAAGTGAGCAGATTGTTGAGCTTACCTTGGTTATATTCGCACACAATTTGGAAGTACTCAATGAAGAATGGGTCAGGAACATGACTTTCTGAGATCCAGTTCGGCGATGATAGCGCCGGCCAGTCTTGGAAATCCCCAACAACTCCGGAGATGTCGTACCCCAGATCGAGAAGGACTTCCAACAAGTACAAGTGGGGGCCCTCACCAATCCACTTCGCGCATTGCACAAGAAATCTGGGATGACGAATTGATTTTAGCCCGTTCACATACTCCCAGTTCCCGAGTCAGACTTACGCCGCACTTTCAGTCCCTTTATTCATTTCGAACTCTTGCATGAAGAGTCTTAATAATTCCCATTGAGTCTGATCCCTTCCCCTTATCCATGGGTACCTCAAAATCTCCTATCGCCATTCTCTGTCAGGATATGGCCGCAAGTTAGGTTCTGGCAAATATACCTCGATATAAGATTTCCCACCCGGATTCACGTGGCGTCTGAAACCTTGCGGGTCTGCTCTGTATAGCTGTCTCAGACTTTCGCTAGCCTCTTCAATTCCAATTTCGTAAGTCCGGCACCTCCATATGATTTCGAAACCTGGAGACGTGTACGGCACGATGTGCTCCAATTCGAGATTTGGACGAAATGAGAATCTGCCTGCGGATGTGATAGCATAGACCTCAAGCACTGCTGCCCATCTAATGCCAAATTGCGAGAACGCAAGCCTCACTGAAGCTCCGTATTTCGTCGTGTTGCAGGTCTCCAGGTCGCAGCTCTGCTGGAAAGCACCCCAAGGGGTATACTCTAGGGCCCAGAACCGACGTGTCGTCCTGTTCGTAAGATGGCAGACACAAGAGCATGATCTCAAAATACAATTTTGCTTAGGCCTGGTCCTCCATTTCTCTCTTCCTGCCACTATGCCAACGGAGGCGGTTGGAGAGTCGGACAAGTCGGACAAGTCTGAAGCAGTAGCCGGAACCAGCTCTGAGGCTGACTCTTCAGGAAGGTCTGCTGTCGATGGCAAGGTGTGAAGTTGACTCACTAAGCTTAACTCTTTCAGCTGGTTCGAGTTTCTGTACGTCGTGATCCTGATAGTGACACTCTGTTAGATGATTGAAAGGCGGCAGGAGCGGCTTCGAAGGACTATACCACGCACAGGATTAAATTGATCTTTGCTCCCTGAATACTTCGCTGCAATACCATCACGTTCTCTTTCCAATCTCGGAAAGCAAGGAACTTGAGCGCGTTGGCTTTTACAGTGCTCCTTGATGTTGGCGGTATCTTCAAAATCAAAGACTTCAAGTCTCGAACAACTTGATCGCAGTCCGCTTGACAATGTTGAATCACAGAATCATTGCGATGAGAGGCATGCAAAATTACATCCTGAATAACATGTGTCAAGAGATCCAGTTCTCGGATGAGGGTGCTGATGTCAGTGGCAGCCTTGCCCGCACTTTCCCAGATAGTTCGTAGTTTGCTGACACCCTCACCAATCTGTGCCACGAGGGATAAGAAACCTACCACTCCGGCAGCGACTCCAAATTCAGCCATTTTCTGAGACGACACGTGGGATGAAAAGAAGATAGACTTCCGAGGCCATGCCAACGCGAGAGAGAACCATGCTTCAGGAAAGTTGACGAAAGCTTTGTGGGAAGAACGAGGGGCAATGTCAGCCACGGTCAAAAATCAGGCTTTGCGGTAGTCTGCCTGTGGATTCGCCCTGTGTGCTGCGCCTTCATTGGAAGTAATGGAGATCTCCAAGCCAATCGCATGGTCGTCATGTCTCTGCACCCCTGACCAACATCAAATAACTAGGCGCCGACGAGCATTCGCGAATGATTGGCTGGCAACTCGTAGGGTACCTAAAATATCTTGAAATCTCAGTGAAAGCGTTTGTGGGTTTCTATTGGCTCCTTGACTGTTAGGACAGGGGATAGTCATTCTTTAGACACCATCGTTCCAAGCAAAAGCGTAAAATCAGAAATAAAGGACTTTGGGGAAAACGGACTTTTTCAGGAGATACGGCGCATATGCCGGTTCTTCTTATCTTGAGGTTTGAGATTCCCCGAATAGATCAATACCCTGATTGAAAGACGGGAGCCGTCGGGCAAAAGAAGCCGATCTAGGTATGAGATATTGAGAGAGCATCTCTACTAGGAGCTCCGGATGGGCTTGTTGAGGAGGCCGAGTTTGGGTTGACATTGTTGGATATACGGCACCGGCCTTGATTTCAGTGGAGTCGTCCACGGAAGTCAACATCGTCATACTAGGCTTCTCATCTTGTTTTTTGTCAAAGAAAGATCCGGAAAAAGAGGCAATCGCGATATTCATAGAGTGGCCAAGCTTTGTGATGATAAAGCATGCTATTCTTGTGCCTCAATGGTATGGTTGACTGCTTCACTATGCCCGACCCGTAGATCTGTCACTCACTCGTCGCCCTCAGAGACCGTAGACCGAGCCGTTGAACCCTTGAGAAGCCTAGTCTCTTTGGCAGGTGGCTGGATCACGCCCACAACCGGGCGGTCCCCGGTTCGCACGATCCTCAAGCTCTATACCCTCTTCGCGAGAACTGATTGCCGCTCGCGTCAGGAGTCGCGCGGGAGACGCAAAAGCAACAGCAGGGGCCTAAAAGTTTTACCATTAGCACAATTTGAGTCGATTCGAGCGGTGAACAATTTGCAGTAGCTCAGCAAAGACTCATACCAGTGTTGCCAGGGCGAAGGCTGAGTTCACGGAACAACCCAGTCCCAGGGCTCCAGCGCTTCCGAGGGAGATGGCACTAGCAAGAAGAAATGTTTGAAGCTGCATTATTGCGTTTTTGGTTTATGGGTATCAGATCGGTTATTCAAACTTGGGCCAAGAAATAGTCAATTTAAAACCTGTGAGATTGTGGTAAAGACACTATCCGACTAGACGTCGAGAACAAGGCGGCAGTACTCTAAGCCTTATGTACGCCATCCTTCAGAGTGCAAGTCAGTGATGCCGACGAAACCTCTTCATGCCTCTCAGGAGCCTCGCCCAACTTACTCGCGATATATCAGTGGCCCAGATAGAAGAGTTCAAGAAAAAGGGTATCATTGGTATGCAAGTTCGATTAAGATTTCCCTCAGCGCGCCCTGATTTGGTATCATTGCTCGCTCTAAAAGCCTGGGCCATGATCTCTTTGCTTGAGTGCACTGTTCATTCAGCGCCTTGAGAGCTTTGATGAAGGTTAAATCGTAAAACATACAGAGTCAGAAACGCTAGCGCCCACCGCGATGAAACCAGACTACGGAAATATTCTAGTTTTGCCTTGACTCAACATGTCGCCGTAACGATATTTGTGGAAGAAACAGTAAGGAGACGCGTAAGAGGCGCTTGGCACCCAGGACGAGGCATCGATTACTGCAGGTATTGTGAGCTTGCCCAATATCTCGACAACGGCGTCGTAACTTCACTCGGCCGTGAATAGCTGCCGAAACCGCGATCATTGTATCATTGGGCTCGATAATGACTCACCAGATGCTCGGGCAGCTGTAGTAATTTTGAGTCGTTAGTTCTTCTTTGGCGTTTTCTTGAATATTGGGAGCCATATTTGTTTGCAAGACTATTAGTCGTCTTTGAACGTGACAATCATGCTACAGACTTCTAGACAGTCAGGTAACATCGGCCATTGCCTTCAAGTTACTAAGTACTCAATCTTTAAGAACCGGCGCAAATGTATTTTCGTATGTTCCCTCCAGACCGGGAAGAAGTTTCCAGTCTAGAAGACATTAGCGTTCTGAGAGTATCCATGTCAGTTCCGCTGGCTTTGTCCATGGCCTGCCAACAAGACGCCTTCTACCTGAACCTGTTCCGCCTCGAGATCTGCAATTCTCTATATGACCTGTTACGATGAATGTTTTTTATCCACACATGCTCATCAGATCTGAACTCCTAGCGAAACTAGCAAGTGCACAGTCCTACTCATCAACGAGTCAAATTATTGCGAAAGCGGCCGCCTGCTTTGGAGCTTTCACATGAGATGGTTCACGCTGCAACGAGAAGAAGTAGGATCGGCTCTGTTACAATGAAACTCTTATCTAAGTATTCGAAGTGCAATCCCACGAGGTTTCAGACTTTTGCTTTTGTCCCACTTACAAGAACAATAGACCTCTCGATCTCAAAGGGCCCTCCACCATACTTCTTCCCCAAATAATCAACAATAACAGGCTTCAACTTGTGCTTCAACTTCACCTTCTGCTCCTCAGACCAATACCTCTCAACGGTACCTGTAAGCAGCGCCTGGAAAATGCTACAAAACTGCTCAGGGTCTCGGAATGTAATGGGCTTGGCCATAGTCTCCGACTTGATCTCAGTCAGTCCCGAAGCATTATATATGGCGGCCGCGAAATAGGGGTCATCCCATGCACCAGGTGACCATAGTCCAGTCAGATGGTATGACTTCTGTGGCCATGGAACCGGTTGCTGCCCGGGGACGCCAAAGTTTGCGACTGCGTCGCGGGTGTCGGAGACCCAGCCCTCTGTTGCCCATGTAGAGCTTGCGATGCGGCCGCCTGGCTTGAGAACGCGGCACAGTTCTGCTTTCAAATCAGCAACAGGATATCTCCTGAAGTAGCTGGAAGGCAGTGTGATGTTCTTTGATGCGTGGACATACCTGCTAGACCTGCATAGGGTTCGGCAACTACCATCAATGCCATGCCAACGACGATGAAGTCAAAGCTGTTCGACTCGAATGGAAGACTCTGATGTAGTCAGTAAGTAATCCAAGGTTGCACCAGTCAACCAAATACAAGTAGACTCTGAACTACGCATTTTGGGAGGGAACCTGTTACGTACCGCAATATCGGCCTGGACTACCGTCGTGCCCGTCCAGCCGTCCTTCCCAATTCGGCCCCTGACATGCTCAATCTGACCACCACTAGAATCAGAACAAGTTAATTTCACAAGCCCCTTTCTACTCTGGCCCGTCGCCTTCAGCATCTCCTGGATGCGGGCCGAAACCACACCCGCACCGCAGCACATGTCAAGAACCTTGATAGGCTCATCGAGCGAAGCAATCTTATCCTCGGTCAGGCCGCAGTAGTCCAGCAGTGGCTGCGTAATCGGAGCGGTGATGTACTCGGTATTGCGGTATATGTTCCCGACCTTGGGGTTCCGCCAGAACGTGGTGTGGTTGGCCCTGTCTCCCGCAGGGCTCAGGGCCGCGGGGTTGAGGAAGAGTTTGGATTGGCCGGGTGGTCCCTGGCTTGAGTGGGTATAGGATGCCATGTCGATTTTGACCAAGAGAGATAGGCATGCAGTCGGAGTGGAATCCACTTCGACCTTTCGTGCTATACGTAGAATGGAGGCTGGGGATCACGTTGGCTATGGTGGGTGGTAAGGCTAGTTTAGGGACAACAATTTATACAATTACTCATTGTCCGTGCCATTGCGAACGCATATACATCATTTAGGAGGTGTTGTTGGGTACCGAGAGCGAAGCTGACGGGCGATAACGCATTTGAGATGACTTAACATGTGCAATGCAAACCCTACGGCAAAGACAGTTGATAGCTCCAGGTTCACGAAACTAGACTCAAGATTGCTAAAGATAGGCGGAACCGAATCCTACTCGCGAAGGCAAAATCTAGTCTGCTCCATCACGAAGCTAAAGTCCGACGGCTATGCAGCTCGTCAAATCTTGCCCCTGGTCGGGGAGGATCACTGATTGGGCCTGGACTCCAATGGTAGCCCAGCACGGCTTCGTGTGTGCAGATGATGGATGGGATGAGGATGGGCTGAAGTGATAATATTCTGAGTGCGTTTCCTCCGCGTCTTGACAACTTTCTTTTATGGCAGGATTTATCGCTCCAGATTGGATGCGCACTTGGATTTTCGTGTCCACCCTCTCGGTAACCTCTTTGATTGCCATCAAGCATGTGCTATGCCCTAACTTCAATAAGCTATCGGGTTGTGAGAAGGAAGAGCTGTAAGGGCAACCAGTTCACCGTGGGGGTAAGTTTCTTGTTAAGTACGAAAGTTTAAGCTTAAGTGAGGTGGAGTACTGCCCCCGGTGGGATGCGAAAGTTGTTGGGGAGTCAAGGATTGGCACTTGGGCCCGTTTCGACGGCGTTTCTCTTGGTAGGAGACCGCCGATTATCGAGAACCCGCTCCGTGGCCGTTGGCGTTGTGGACCTAGTGTACCGGGCAACATTGCCGATGGTGAGTTTCAACCTTACCGTTCGCGGTAACGAGCGCGGATGTTCCGAGGTGTGTGTCGTGATCCTGATTATGCGCAAGCATTGTGCGAGTCAAATGTAATTGTTCGGGATGGTTATCAGAGTAAGTATGATGGCACTACCATAACCAGCTTCCCAATGTCCATACTTGACTTACTATGTTGGCATGGTTTAAGATGCACGTATGCACTACCCACGCAAATCGAGTTCTTCTCCAGGCTACCTACACAAAAACACGTCTTTTTCGATGTTTCGATAATATTCATCCGCTTCCTGTTGCCTGGTCTCGAGATGATAGCTCAAAGTATGCCGGCAACTCGGCCTCTTGACGAGAGAAACTTCGTTCGATCAGTAGCCCGGGCTCAGTAGCCCGGGCTGTCCAGTCAAAAGAACGGGCTGACGAGCGTCCCAGGTATTGATGGACTATTCATCCCGCCACTAATTTTTGTCACTGGAGTCATGCTTGGGAACCACAAACCTACACGAGGCTTTCTCATACTAGAGGCACTTCAGTATAAGGTGAGATAATCAAGTTCACACCGTGAATGTATAGTAAGTATGTATGCACATTCGTTGAAGAGTCTAACTTGACTAATGATATCTCAACTGCAGAGTAAATACTTAGGCATGGACAATGGACAAGTCTTGAGTGTCCAAGATGCAAGAAACTCCAGACGGGTACACAATTTACCTAACGGTGGATGATGCGCTCTCAACGACAAGTGCGCATGCTCCCTGCTCATACCAGGCAGATAGGAATAGCCTCTCCAAGAAAATAGCCCCCACGACATGGTAAGAAAATAAGCACATGACTACCTCCGTAACCCAACCCAAAAATAAATCACAAAGGAAAAATAGAGACAAGAACTTCTTCCCTCTCTTGACGTCATATTCCCAAGGTAAGGGCAAAATCAAAAAACGTGGCAAGGTAAAGCAGGGAAGGATAAGGTGAGTCGGACACTAGCCGGGCGGGTAGCAAGGTCACTCGACACCACCAACCCAAGGCAAAGATACAAGCAAGCCACCTGACACTGTCAGACGGTTCGGCTGTGCCCAAAACGTGAACTTACCGAGAAACCGAGACCGTCACGACACCGACATCACGTTGTCGCGCGAAATGCTTAACGGATCAGATAAACGGGTGCGGAATCGACGTTTTCGATGCGTGCACGCGGTTGTTTCTTCGTTGTGTTTCTTACCTTGTCTTTCTTAAACACGCGTATCCTTGGAACATTAGTTATTTGAGACCATGCGCCGACGGAGAGTCATAGTTATCATGGAACAAACGTGTCTGCAGACCGAATATAAACGGAAAGACAGAATGATCGCTTATAACTGGGTACGCGCGCGCGCATGTTCGCACAAGTGAAGAAGGGAGCAGGTCAGGTAGCTGAGAAAATGGATTAGAACTCATGATACAATTGTATGTACACTTGATGGACATATATACAGTGCCCGCCGTCCCCGGCCGCTCTGCATGCTAGTCCAAGCCTCTTCTACGCTCCCTTGCCGCCGAGGCCCGCACGCGTGCGACGTCGGGCTGCGGCTTCTGAATACGGCACGCTGATTCTTCGGGGGTCCTCCTACTGATACTACTGCTGCTAATGCCCTTTGCGGGGCTGGCGTCACGACGGCGGTGAAGATGGGGTATCTTTGGTGAAGACGCGCGGAAAGATTGGGGTATCGAACGGAAAGGAGATTTGCTGTCAAGGTAAGATGCCGCCGTTGTTATTGTTTCTGGTTTGGGTGTTGGTGTTTCCGAAGACTCCATCACGTCGTCGTAGAGGTCGAAGGGAAGTTGGGTTGTCGGGAACTCTTCTTCGCAGTCGTCTTCTCTAATGGCGCTATCGGTGTATTCGCTAGGTTGCTCCTCTTCCACGGTAGATTCACGCGTCGAACGGTGGTCTTCTAGATCAGAGACCGACGTCGTCAGAGAGTCGGGATCTTCGGACTGTGAGGTATCTTCTTCCTCATCGTCGTCTTCATCGAGACACTGAAGCCGTCTCTCTTCAAGTCGGCCGGACTCGGATCCGGAAAAGGATAATGTTCGCGCAGGCGTGAGGTTGTGGAGGTGGTAGCTGTGGTCGTGATCATGGTCGATCGGTGACGACACAGAGGTATCGGAGTGCATCGTCATGGAACGAGGGGAGGGAGGGAGATCGGTGGTAATAGCGGAGGAAGAGATAGAAGTCGAAATGTGAAAGGGTTCATGCGTCATAACGGGCTTGTCGTCATCATCATCGTGAAAGAAACAGGGACCGTCGTCGAGACTGCTAAGGTTGGTGCTCGCCGTGCGAGAGCTGCATCGATCACTAAAGGAAGTGCCGGTGGAGGATGCATAGTAGCCTTGCGCGCATGAATAGTCGTCGGGGAGATAGCTTGAGAACAGTCGCACCAGGGAGTCGAGCGAGCGTGTTCGGAAGAGCTGCAGAGCGTACGACCACTGCGCCGTGCCGACGAGCTTGGGGTTCGCAATGATCTCGACAGCAGCGAGATCAAGCGACATGTTGAGTTCTTTCAAGCGTTGTTCCTTGCGGTCAGCCATGAGGCGATGGAACTCGTCGGCGGTGTCGGCGATGTGGGAGATCTCGCAGACATCGTTGTGAAAGGCATCGGGGTCCTGGATGCTGGAAGGGATAGTGTTGTATTGGTCTTGTAGTTTGGTGGAGAGATCGTCTCTCTTCATCCCAAACTTCCAGAAAGGCCAAGCACAACCCGGTTCGTCCATGTTAGGGCAAAACCGTACTGAAGGAGATAGTCGACGACGAGAAGTAGTTGTCGAGTGGTGGTAGAGGGAGTCGGAGTGGAGAGAAAGGTCGGTTCAGGTAGTTCGGAGGAAGGGAGTGAAGGGTGGCTGGTGAGGCCAGTGGCTTCGGTTTGCTCGATGGTAGAAACGATTGTTGTTTAATGGCGACATGAAGAACATTTAGATGCAACTGCAAAGGGTATCCATTGTGAATGTTCAGGTGTCCGTGAGGAGCGAAAGGTGAAGGTCGGGGTTGTTGATGGGCTCGTTGGTGATGAGGATGGACGGTTTCAGGGCGTGGAGACACCGAGGAGCGCGGGAATGAGTTGGTCGGGGGGGTGCCCGGACGCAATGTGCGTGAAGCCAGAGTCGGACGAACTTCACGCCGATTCAAAACATCGCCAAAAGTCACGTGACGCCGGAGAGAATTGCAAAGATGACGGGAAAGTGCAAGGGACCCGGAGACGCTAGCACCAGGCTAAGCAGCACTAGCGCCAACAGGAGGCCCTACGACGAGGGGGGTACCCCTGCTGTGTCCGACGAAATCGGAACACGAGGGCAGGGCTGGCCTGGCTTTTCGAGACTCCGCCACTCTAGCGAGCCAATGGAAATAGAGGGAATGATGCACAGTGGCATGGTGTTCTCAGTTGCAGCCAATGATGTCGCTTACTAAGGCTGCAAGCGTCCACCCACGCAAACCACGAGACGACATTTCTCAACTGGGTTGGCCCGGGCGCAGGCAGTGAACCACAGCCAGGCTCTGCTCTCCCTCACTCACTCACTCACTCACTCACTTTTCCCGCTCTCTCCGTCTGGGCTCGGCGCGTGAATGTGATTCTACAGTAGGTTTTCATTTCGGTGGCGACAGACAGCCTGCTTCTGTTGCAGCGTGAAGATGGTGGGAAAAGAAAAGATTTGGTTGCGCCGGGATGACAATAGTCGGCAACAGAAATCCAGCAGGATGGCTCAGTCATCAAGCTTTGCTTCCAGAGCCAATCACCGAGTGACTCCCTCATCGTTGGCCGTTCTCACTCACTTCAGGCACATTTCGACTCATCAATATTCATCGAAACCCACTCATTTCGCAGTGCCATAGCCTTGTCCTGACTTGCGATATTCGATACTATCATGGCTTGCGGCCAGGCCAGTCCTCAGTCAGCCTGACACCTCAGTCTGAATCTCCCGACAAACTGCTTTCTCATAAGAAACCTCTTCCGCACCTGTCCCAGTCACGGCCGGGCCGTTGTCTGTGTTTCTCCAGTTCTCATCTCATTCGTCTTGACGCGTGAATACGGACAGGTCAAGTGACTTTGTCCCGTTCGTCCTTATTGCGTCAGGTTATGGTCAACTGTCAGAGGCCTGGCGGGCACTGCGAGACCTGCAGACCATCGTCTCACCGACAATGATCCTCTACACTCCAGCGTGCGCCGTTCGGACCGTTGAATGAGAGGCGCTGTTGTGGCTGAGAGATAGTCAACGTTCCAGAATGGCTAGATGAGCGACGAAGCGCTGAAGGCTCTCGTTCGATGAAGCTAATGTCACTTTCCACACTCCATCTGCCGATGGGATACCTCTGCCCTCTGTCGACCAGGGCTGACGCCATCCAATGTCACATCTCAAATGAGAACGATCTCTCCCCTCTGGGCCTCCAGCGCTATGCTCGGTTGGGTGCCCTGCAGCCCGGCCAGCCCATCATTTCACTCGATTTTCCTCTTCCCCTCACCTCTTCTCCAAGACCAAGGCCAACCGGCCCCAGGCACCAGTCTCGTTCCACAGGGCTCGATGACTCTTTAAACCTAGGGATGGATATGCGCGCGTTCCAAACTCATCTTCCATACTCAGTGCGTGTGTTTCGTCCCTCAGTTGCGGCCACGCACAAAGATATCGCTGAGTGTGCTGACACTGAGCGAATCTCACTCAAACACTCAAGTTGCTGCTAGAGCAGCGTAATCTTACAATAGTATCTTTGCCCTACTGGTCGGCCGATAAACTACTTGAGGCTGAGACTCCATCAGCAGGCCCTCCCATAAGGTCCCAAGGTCCCTCCCCCCGTCAGATCAAGTCAGCTCAACCCCGTTCACTCCCCATTTATCCCGTTCCCCGCCGTCGCCTTACTCTTCAGTTGACATTTGGCTCATCTGTTCATTTGTTCATCTGACGTCGAGTTCTGTCCGTCTGCCCTTCTCCAACACTCCAACAGAACAGCTTGTTGGCAGTGCTCAGGAGGCTCATTAATGCCGTGCTGTTCCTGCATCTGTACCTGGCAGAGAAACTGTTTCTCTCCTCCTGTTCCTTTTCCCTTTTCCCCATTCATAAATCACGCCTCGGCCAACCTACAGACCGCTGCGCTCTGAACCCTGCTCATCGCAAAAGATCTAACCACGCTCACCCTGCCGCGCACCATCTCACTCTCACTCAACTTGCCTGTCTGCCTGGCCATACCAGGATAGACGACATCTTACCTCACACCAAACTTACGTGTCCTTGCCAACCCATCCCGGCCATACTCACTCACCACATTGCCACTGCGACGACAACGACGACTCACACCTCCCACCACACGACCCGCCGTCCGGAGTGCCTGGCGTCGTCTCTGAGTCCATCTCCCCGTAAGGTATCCGTAGCTGCCGAGCCACCATCGCAAATCGAACCGCGCATGGGCCACGGGAGGCTAGGCAACATCGTCATCCCTTCCCTCGCTTGATGGGAGACCGCCGGATCCGCGGCTCAGAGGAGCCGTCGGAAGAAAAGACAGAGCCGTTCTCTCAATCTGAAATCGATGCCCGCATGAGAAACATCCGCGTAGAGGAACCCTTTGACCTCATCTCAGGCGACCCCGTGCCGCTCGACAAGCTGCGCGTCGAGGAGCACCACCACAAGCAGGGTATTCGCATTCTCGTCCGACCCCTCACTCGGAGCCGCTCAGTGAGCCCGGGCAACTACAACTGCCAGTGGCTCGCCCTCCGTGCCGAGGTTGCTTCTGAGCAGGAACCTCAGCACAAGGTGCTCGCCGTCTCCCAGACGTCCCGGGACATCAAGTTCTCCGTGCGTATCCCGCCGGAGCGGTTGGATGACAACACGCCCCGCCCACCGCTATGGTGCGAGCTCTACTATGATCCGACGAGCGATAATCAGATCCTGCTGAACAGATCCGAGGTGCCCATCTCATTAACGAGGATCTCTGACGGTCCCAGTTCCTGCGCCAGCTGGGGAGTTAATCCGGGAGCCCCCAAGGCGCTGTCACCAGGCACATGGAGGATAAACGTCCGCGATGTTGAAGTGCTCGACTTCAGGATCTTGGAGAAGCGGCCCGCCTACTTCAAACACTCCGATTCGGACATCAAAGACGAACTACTCTCAAGCTCAAACTCAGATGCCCTCAACGCCTCTGGTAAGCGGTCATTCAACGCCGACGATGGCGAGCCACGGACCGAGAAGAAGGCGCGTACGACAGAGGAGGCTGGCACAGTGAAGAAGGAAAAGGAAGACGGCGTCATCATGTTCCTCAGACCACAAGCACAACCCCTCGTATTCCCCCTGCCCACAGAAGCCAAGGGCAGAGAGCTTGTAGCGACAAATGGCCACGCCCTGTTAGACATGCAAAAGGACGAGACGGTCGTCATCCCCGGCGGCTGCGAGATCGACGAGTATACAGTCTCCAAGCGCGACCAAATCGCCTCCACCGCCCTCTCCTCCGTCTTCACCGCAGAGCATTCCAATGTCCCAGACGGTGTCGTCACCGTAAAAGTCCTCAAGACCCGTACGGCCAACGCGAACGCCAACACCGCCTCAAAGCCCCAGGACAACAACGAGCGCAACGTGATCCGGCAGGCCGACATGTGGCTCCGCGAGTACCAGTCCCAAGACGACCTCCGCCACGAGTCCATCGTCAAGCTCTACGGCGGCGACGCCCGCTACCTCTCCCTCTACATGGAACACGTCGACGCAAAGGACCTCAGCGCAAAGGGCGTCTGGCGCTCCCAGCTGGACCACAGCTTCCTCGGCGATCGCGCCGACGCCTTCGCTATTGCGCGCGATATCAGCGGCGCACTGCATTACCTGCACAGCAAGAACCTCGTCCACAACGATATCAAGCCGGCCAACATCCTCTACTCGCCCTCCCGCGGCGCCGTGCTCTGCGACTTTGGGCTGTCGACGCACACCAGCGGGCCCGTGACGACGGGTGGCACGCCGTACTACATCCCGCCCGAGTTCATCGGCAAGAAGCTCCGCGGCCCGCCTTCGGATGTCTGGGCGCTCGGTGTGACGATGCTCTACGTTCTCGGCAAGATTCCCTTCCCGGACGCGCGCTCGCGGAAGCAGGCCAAGCAGACGGCGCTGTACTGGATGATTGCCGACGTGAATCGACCCCCGCCCCCGCCGAACCCGCAGCAGAGGGGCCCCGCTCAGCCTTGCCCTGCTGTGGACCAGATGTACAGATGGCTGAGCGAGGTTGCGGTGGCGAGAGAGAAGCTGTATCCGCGCGACAAGCTCGAGCGGCTTGTTTCCGATATGTTGATACCCGCGCCGACACAGCGTATCACCATGGCTCGCGTCGTGAGGGAGCTCTATGTCATGGAGCAACAGGCTCTCGCGAAGAGGTGATCAGTTCTACTCATCAATTTCTTTATGTTTTGGCATGGATTTAATCTGGATTATACGTTGTCGATTTGGTTGAGATAGACGTCACTGCCCAGGCAGTGCGCGCATGAAGCTGCATGATGTTTGCGAGAGATACCACTGATGTCGAGAAAGTAGCATGCATGGTTTTGAGTAAGTGCTTGTTTATTGGTTTTGGGGATTCACGCCGGCCTCGTTCAGTAATATTGACGAAGGTCAGGTTGCATTGCATTTGGTCACATTTGGACATGGTTCGCATCTCATATATACACATACATATATTGAGCATAGCATTTTTGAGAAATTTCCTTTTCATTATCATATCGGTCATCCAGAGGATGAACTGGTTTCAAGCATTCATG